TCCGCCGAGTCCTCGCGGCTGCTGCTTCCCGAGCCCGAACCGGGGCTGCCGCCACCGCCGCCGCGGGGCCCGTTGGGCAGCGGCGCGGCGGGGCGGGGCGAGCCGGGCGGCGGGGCGCTCCGGGGCCCCTCCGCCATCCCCGCGGCACCACAGCAGCGGCCGCCGCGGGGCCCCGGGCGCCCCGGTGCCTGTGCCCGCCGCCGCTGCTGGCTCAGTGGCGGAGCGGGCGGGAGGCGGCGCGGCCGGGAGGAGGGGACGGGCCGGGGCCGAGGGCGGGGACGGCGCGCCCCCCCTCCGCCCCGGGCTGCCGCGGCGCGCGGTGACGGCGCGGCCGCGCAGCGGTACCGGCACCTTTGAGCCTCCGCTCGGCGCCGCAGTGCACGGCCTTGGTGCCGCCCCAGACCGCCGGGACCCCGGCCAAACCCGCACCCTGCATCCTGGTACCCGCACCTCAGCACACGACCCCAACCGGCACCTTGCAGCCTGGCACCCAAAGCGAGCTAGCAGCTTGGCATCCTGCGTGCTGTGCTCAAACCCAGACTGGCATCCTGCAGCCTGGGACTCAGATCAACCTCACACCCTACATCTTACTGCAACCGCCTTGCACCCTGCACTGAGGCATCCTGCAGCCTGGTACCCAAACACAGCCCACACCCTGCAGTCTGTACCCAAAACTTGCCTGCATCCTGCTCAAATCGCCCTCACGTTCCACAGCCTGGCACCTGCACCCAGCCCACTCCCTGCTTGTCCAAGCAGAGAGCTCAAGTTTTTGCTGTGGGGCACAGTGGGGCTCTGGGGAAGGGCTGTGGGCATGCGTGGCACAGCAGCAGGATGTGATGACCACGGGGCTCCCAGGCTATGTTCAGGTCACGGATGTTTGCACTACAGGGCTGGGAGCAGCGCACAGAGCTGCTTCACCTCAGGCCTTTATCCAGCACCCACCAACTCTGCCCTCCAGTAATGCCCAACCCTGACAGCGCTGAGCACAGCTGACACACCCTGGCCCAGCCCCCGTGTCTCACCGTCAGGATATTCAGGGTCCCCAAACCCTCCCCATCACACAATTTCTTCTCTGCTTGCAACAGGAATTTTGCTCCAGGCTTATTTCCAGCATGGCATGGCAGGGAAGGGCCCTCCACACCATTTCTACCCTGGCAGGAGGCGGTGGCTGCACTGCAGGGATGCTTCATGCCTGCCTTCTTTAAGACAAGCGGCCTTGCTTGCCCCCACCCTGGTAACAGCTGTGTGCACAGCAGGCTCTCTGAGCGCCATGGCTCAGTAGCCCTTAAAATAAACCTTAACAAGCAGGGAAACGACCAGCTCCCCCCCCCACCTGGTAAGTTTGTGCCTCAAAGGCATCAACGGCCCCAGACACTGCCAGAGCCCCAGACAAACGCTGAGCTGGTTAAATATTCATGGCTGACCCCTCCCCAGGACTGAGGCGAGCAGATAACAAAGGCCAACTTCT